ATTAACTGTAAAACTGCAATATGAAAGACTGAAAATGTCACCTGAATGTTTTACACACTTCAAATGTTCGTGTTTCAGTCAGAAGTCGCGTCAAATCCAGACTGAGTCCCAAACAGCTCCGTACTCCCTACATAGTGTTCTAGCTATGGAAGTTTAGAAATTCTACCCTCTACAGTCAAACAGTGTGGATGTGTCTGAGTCCCAAATGACTGTTTCTTAGCTGTATTAAACACCGTATTTAATCCAGTATTCCATTTAATTCCACCGTATATAATCCAGTAGGATCCAGTATTTAAACTACTACGTAGTGCACTATGTAGGGAATAGGGAGCCGTTTGAGATTCAGCCCCAGCACCAGAAGAGGGGCGCTGCTGGATTGGTGCTAAATAAGATTCATGGTGGTGATCTGGTGACTAAAAAGGTCTTATAAAGCGAAGGTTTCTGCAGTAAACAGTGCTGTGATGATATATGTTCATTGTTACACATCAGAAGGTTTAAAAGTTCATGAAATGAAGTGATGGGCAACCAAATGGTCTTCTCCTCATTTAGCAGTTCATGGTTACTTGGCAATGATACCATACTCTAAAGGAACTACATTTCCTCCTTGTTTATGATGAGTTTTATTGATTTGATTAAATAACAAATTATTTTCTGAACAACTGTGTGTTTATCATAGTTTATGTTGGCACTAAGTCACTTGAGGCCGTGCGTTACAGTGACTTTAATACAGGGAAGCAGGTTTTACTTCACTTCGTCGAGCCTAAAATGCCCTTCATCATGACAAAATCACAGTAACACAGCCTCTCATAAACTACTGCTCTAATTTACACCTCCGCATTAACGAACGCTGAAGTGTGAGAATGGTCTGTGTATCATATTGAGGCATTGTATCAAATCAAATTGAGTTATGTATCATTACACCCCCATTAATATTATAAATGAATACAATACACACAAGCCTAACTGTTTCCACAGTTCCCACAAGCCGATGATGAGTTTCCTCTTTTCAGATTGCATTACAGCCACTCTCAGTCTGCCAATTCGATATGTTTGTATGATCAGCATTTAATCAGATGATGTCTGCGCAGTGCAACTTTACAAATAACTCAAACATATCTTCAGGCCCCGAAGCTGATCTGGATATTCTGTACGAGCTGATCTGCTACACAGACTGCAGTCAGAAAACAAAGCAATACAGATACATAAACAATAAATCACAAGTGAAAACCTTCCGGCAACAATGCTCTTAAATATCAGAGAGAGAGTTCAGCTCCTCGTGTTTACTTTGCTCTAGTGCTCTTATAAACACCATAAACAGCACAAACAAACTATGGAGAGCTCTCAGCAGGACGAGAGGGCAGAACAGAGCAGCGCTCTGTAAACACACAGACTACATTATTAATCAAAGAGCTTCAGCGAGTTTTAAACAGAGGAATGCAGGACGTCTTTCTTTATATCCACACTTACTGCCCAATAAGAACACTACAGAAATATGAATTATAGTTAATGATCTTTAACACACACAGTCCACTGCTCACTGTATTCCTCACAGAAATGACCATTCAGACATGAGCTGACGCACATACTGATTTGGTGGTTTGGTATTTTACCCTGAAGTGTTTTTCTTCAAGTTACATCCGTTGCGTCATTCAATAGAGCTACATAAAATAAAACATAAATCATATAAAATGTGCCATGGGCCATATGTTGTGTCCTATTATTTAACTAACATGTTAAATTCAGTACATAAATAGTCACTGTGTATTAAAGGGTGCAGTAGTGTGTTCTCAGTAGAGGATGTGTAATTTATTTTCACAACAACAACATGGAATTTGACCGGGGGTGCACAAACTTTTGCACACGACTGCACAACACACTGCCAGGCTTAGATCACAAGCAGTGTCACATAGTAAAACCCAAGAATATACAGTAAAAAAGAGCAAAAGTCAGTAAACACTACTTCATTTCCAGTCAAAACTGCTATTAAGTGCTAAACAAAGCTAACTGTTCAGCAAATACTTCACTGCTGTCGGACGAAAACCTCGTCTCCAAAACAGTAACTTTACAGGAGAACGAAAAAACTACTGTTAATGTAATCAACGGAACCAGACTTTTTCCAAGTCGTTTCGGGTCATTTCTTTTGGTCCATTCATCATAAATTTTACGCACAATGTAAAGAGAAACCATTTTCAAATTATGACAAAAACCGAAAAATGACAAAAATGGAGATATGAGGTTTTCTTCTGACAACAGTGATATGCTAACCAAGTATGCAGAGAAACAGATGGACTACAGTCTGTAACTGTAGAACTACAGAGTGAAACTATACGGTCAGTGGAGCTGATAAAGTGGACACTGAATGTAGAAACAAGCGGCTGATGTGTGTATTTTTCAGCTCCCACAAATCACTGCGCCTTCTCTGAACGCCTAAAAGCAGATTTCCTTCCTATTTTTACCCCATATGCTTTGATTACACTGAAATATTTCTTCAGATTTGTGCAGCAAAAGCTATTTAACATTTCACATATGGACATTAATGGGTTAAGAAAGTGCTTAAAAACCTGCAGTGAGTTCATTCCAATGGGGACAATACTGAATGTACCATAAACTAAAGATAAAAGCAAAGTAGTGACACTGATCACTCACTAAACTAGTGATTTGAATACATTTATATGCTGCACTTGCAAAATATATGAACACTTTAGATCTGCACATGCACAGTATGCAAAATATATGCAAATAAAGCAGGTGTGCTGTAAAAACTGCTGTCCATCTACAGCAGAAGTCCTACTATAATCCTTAAAAGGTGCATCCCTGGAGTCACTGCACTGTAAAAAAAAAAAAAATAAAAGGTTTGTCAGTTCAACCTAAAAAAGTGACTTCATGTGGTAACAAGCAGCAGAACTAGTTTAATTCAGCTCAGAAAATACTAGACTGAAAGAATCGTTCACTCAAAGTATTTATTTAGGATGAATAAAACTAGTTCATTTACTCATTTACCACATTAAATATAATTTTTTTAGGTTAAATAGACAAACCATGTTTACAGTGTGGTCAGACTTCTCATCTGAGAAGATTTTACGATGAATCTCACGCGTTTTGTGTTTTAGTTAACAAGTTTACCCCACATTGTTTTGTTAAAACAGACTCTGGAGCCTCAAAAACGGGCAGAAATACATGTAACTGCAATAATGTTATGCTTTGTGTATAACATGCTTTTTTAAATTAATATCATGATCATACTGTTTACATCAAACGCTATAAATGGCTGTAAATCCAACAATATACAGTATTTCCCTTCATTAATATTCATTAACAGTAACGTTTCTGTAAATTTACAGTATATGGCTGAGAATTCAGCTGCTAGTATATCATTACTGCAATCAAATATCTATAATTGACTGCTGTGCTGTGTAGTATTACACTGTAAATAGTAATTACAGCAGTGTCCCTGTAAAATTACAGTAAATGGCTGAGAACTAAACTGCTTTTTTTAATGTAAAATACAGTACTGTGCAAAAGTAAGAGAGTCACATTTATTTTTCAGTCACAACAGCCATTTGTATTCATTTTTAGTAGATATTTGTATGGAGATTAGATATAACATAATCCACTTGCATTAATAGTTCAGTGTGTGAGGTGTAAACAGAGAGATTCAGAGTGGTTTGGTGTGAAATGGTTCAGATGTCTTTACAGTGGTGGTGATGGGAACCAGGGGTCGCCATGACTACAACACAGATATAGACATTTTATTTACTATCCAGAACCACCAGTGAACCTACACGAGTCTTCTGAGTTTATATGGAATGTTGATGATGGAAAATAGTGGAAAATCTGAAATAATAAGTTTTCTTTGGGGACTATTTTGCCTCACAGCGCCCTGCATGTATCCCTCCACCATGAATGGAGTTTAAGTTCTCTAAACGATCATAAAACAGTGTCTCAGTCATCAGGCAGTGAATTCATAACCATTTCATGTAGGAACTTTCTGTGAGGGAGCTTTTAGAGGTGGACGTCTGGTTCCTATCACCACCACTGTGAACAGTTCTGACTCAGTAAGTTTATCTAGAACAGAGCGTTTCACACCAAACCACTCTGAACCGCTCTGTTTACATCTAAAACGCTTAATTATGCAGGAATTTAGAAAAATTGGTGTAATTCCCCTTTAATAACATGACTCAGAACTGCAGGATCTGAATTTCAGGAGTATATTTTTACATAATCCAGCATCGGTGATATAACAGCCATAAAACAGTGATTTATATTCTTTGTTGTGAGCTGAGTGTCATTCAGGGAGCTTTAGGTTGTTGTAAAATCAATAAAAATTAAATCATTTAAGGAAGTTTCTTTTTAGTAAACGTGCTTTCTGTCTGGTTAATGTTAACAATACTGTGTAAAACTCTCTGTGTAGTTTTAGAATAAAACAGAACCAAAACAGTCCAAACAGAACAAGCTCATTAACTTGATTGATTGATTGATTAATTAACACTAACTGATCTACTTCTATTAATGCTTACTTCTTCACAGCTCAGAGATATATATATTCTCCTCACAGCCGGAGAGCACAGCACTTCAGTCGAATTTTCCGTTCCACCTTAAATGGTGCAGCAGTTACATTCTGGCGCCTGAGGCTGCACCATTTAAGGTGGAACGGAAAATTCGAAAGAGAAGGCAGAGAAAAAGAAGAAAACTTGTACACAACAGATCCCACTTTCAAAAAGGAGGAAAAAACAGAACCTTCATTCAGATTCAGCGTCACAAGAAGAAACCAAGAAGGAAAATCAAGGCAAATCTACTCCATTTAAAAACAGACCCAAAGATTTCGCTGCAAAACAAACCAGCAGAAAGCAGAGACCCTGACCGCCACCTGTCCAGGAGGGTGAAGGAAGAGGAAAAACAAAAACACGAGGCAAGCAAATTCAAGAAGGTGGCAGCCCAAAGGAGAAGAGGAGGAAGAAGAGCAAAGAGAAAAGCGAAGAAATGGAGACGGATGTACTCACCGATGAAAATTTCTGAGAGAAAAAAAGCGAATAAATAGACAGACAGACAGACCGACAGACAGACAGCGAGCAGCAGCAGCGCAGTGATCCGGAGCGGCTCTTCAGCCCTTTAAAGACATCCCGTCTGGATCAAACCATCCGCAGGCAGGTGATCTGACAGCCGTACAGCGCCCGGATGGTTCCGTCCATGAATTTATGAATGCAGACAGCGCAGCGCCGCTTCTGGGGTTGCCAGATTTCCTCGGTGGGAAAATACAGGCCAATATGTCAGCGGTACGCAGCATGTAGAGGTGGGCAAAACTCAGAGACCACCATGGTTCCTTTAATTCCCGGTGAATCAACCATTAAAGGGCCCATATCATGGACCTTTTTGTTCTTGCCGTGTATAAAAATGCAAAAGCAAAGCTGCTGTTACAGGTCATACTCACGTTATTAAAGGGGAGTTACACCCATTTTCCAAAATTCCTACATAATTAAATGGCTAAGATGCAAACAGAGTGGCAGAAATGTGTTATTTGAACTGGTTCTGAATACCACAGAGCCCTGCTGGTGACATCCCGCATAAATAAAGACACACAGTGTGAAAATCAGTAGAGTTCTGTTTTTAGGTTGGCGCTTCTAATTTGATGAGTTTAAAATATGTTTTAGAACTAAAATCTTCTCAAAACCTTCATCTCAGACATCAGGCAGTGTGCTGTGCGGAGCCCTGCTGGTAACATCCTGTATAAGTAAAAATAATGAACGGCCACGCTGTATTAACCCGTAAGGCGTGGAAATGAGATAATTAAGTCGTGGCCATGAGTTAGTAAGGCAGGGGAATGAGATCCCAACGCGTAGCCGCTATTTGTTAAGGCGTGCAAATGAGAATTAAGCCTTTACCACAGCTTAATAAGACATGATGTCATTCCCACGCCTTACTAAGTCATGACTACACATTAGGATGTCGTTCCCACAGGTTAATACAGCGTGGCCACGCATTATATATCATAACCACTCCTGTAATGACACTCACTGCGCACTTTACTGTAAATACAGCTGCTATTCCCAGTTCTGTTTGTACTCAGTGTTGTAACTACCTCAAACCATTTAGTCCAACACCTGCTCTCATTCAAATACAACAACCCTGTCTCATATACTACGGAAATGTGCAAATAGATATATTTCTATTTCTACTCTCTAATACTTTAACTTTATCTAATTTTTTTTATTTCTGTCTAATTTCTGCCTGTTTTTATTTCTATATTCATTTCTGCCTAATATATGTAAGTTTATTTGCAATTATATGTCTTATTACAGTAATACTGTAATTTCCCCCTCAGGATCAATGAAGTTCCATCCATCAATCAATCAATCAATCAGTGATGTTTATACGGGATGTTACCAGCAGGGCTCTGTAGAATACGCTGTCTGATGTCTGAGACGATAGTTTTGAACAGACTTTTGTTCTAAAACATATTTTAAACTCATTAATTAGAAGCTGATTGTTTTGACACTGTGTAGTTTACAGTGTGCTAAAATGTGCTGATGTAAGTAGCTGTGATTATCACTGTTTCTATTTTGCACAATAGCGTGCTTTAGTAGTTTTGTTTGGGTGATTTTTATCATTTGCAATTTGTTTGACCCTTTAATTATTTACGTTGTGACCTTTCCACCTACACACATTTTTGCATTTTGCACTCTCACTTCTTGTTTTTTTGTTTTTTTTTTGGACAGAACCATAAAGTGTTATGCATTCCCAGATTCAGCACAACCTCAGCGAGCAAAACATTTCATTCAGTAAACATTTCTACACATTATATTCCTGAATTAGCCCTTAAAACCACAGTAGCCCAAAACAAATTGTATTTTTTTGCAGTTTTTAATGAAAAAGAAATTAAACCATATCGAACACAAACTGCACAAAGCCCTCCGACCATCACGTATGTGCTGCTTAAAATTTAATCTCCTCCAACTTAAACACCTTCCCGTGTCCTTAAGTCAGAGACACGATTGTTTAATAATAATTTACTGCTTCTTATATCATCATCATCATCATCATCATCATCATCAAATTGTACGTCCAAATCGTGCAACCTTGTTTGTTTACTAGGAGCACAGATAGTGATGGTCTCACTCCACCCCCTCGTTCTCCAGCCTCTTCACCAGGGGCCGTGAGACCGTGCCAATCATCCGCAGCACTTAGGGCCAGGATTACTGAGATGCTTTTCTCGCGTATTTGTCAGATTTCCAGAGGCTTACGCAGACATTTCACATTTATTTTCTGTTTATGTTTTGATGGCAGCATCACACAGAGCACCGGCAACAACTGACCCTCCAGTTTCAACAAGCATCAGGATTAAAATTAAACCGAAAGCTTAAACATGTCATTACACCGAGGAGGACGGGCAGTTTTAGCTTGCGAATACAGTACATGGCCAAAAGTGTGTGGACACCAGCACATCATGTCCGTAAGTGTTTCTTTTGAAGGGTACTAATAGTGAATATGTCCTGCTTTGCCTCAATGACATTCAGTGGTATAAGAATACAGGTAACGTAGTTATATAATCAGAATACTAAAATATATATATATATATATACTACAGCTTTGTTTACAACAGTTCAAAGTCATGATATCAAATGTTGGAACTGAGAAATTTATTGTTTTTTGTAAAATATATGCCCATTTTGAATGCCAGCATTACGTTCCATAAAAGTTGGGACCACTGTGTTTCATCACCTCTTCTTCAACACTCTGTAAGTGTTTGTGAACTGAGGAGACACTGCTGTAGTTTAGAAAATGAAATGTTTTCTGTTCTTGTTTGATACAGGATTTCAGCTGCTCATCAGTTCATCAGTTCACATTTTTCACTTCAAAATGTGCCAAATGTTATCAGTGGTGACCGGTCTGGACTGCAGGCAGGTCAGTTTAGCACCTGGACTCTTTACAGAGCAATGCTGCTGTAATACATGCAGAATGTGGTTTTACATTGTCTTGCTGAAATAATCAGGCCTTCCCTGAAAAAGACGTCATCTGGATGGCAGCATATGTTGCCGAAACATGTATATATCGTTCAGCATTAATGGCGCCTTCACAGATGTGTGAGTCACCCATGCCATGTGCACTAATGCCCCCCTATACCATCATGAATACTGGCTTTTGGACTGTGTGCTGATAACAAGCTGGCTGGTCCCTCTTCTCTTTAGCCTGGAGGACACAGTGTCCATGATTTCCAAAAAGAATTTCAAATGTAGATTTGTTGGACCAGAGGGCACTTTTCCACTTCGCCTCAGTCCATTTTAAATGAGCTCGGGCCCAGAGAAGGCAGTGGCGTTTCTAGATCCTGTTTATATTTGGTTTCTTCTTTACGTTTTAGAGTTTTAATTAGCATTTGTGGATGCAGTGATGAACTGTTTTCACAGACAGTGTTTTTTCAGTGTTTCTGAGCCCATGCCATGTTGGATTGACCTTTTCCTGTTCTTTGACCACATTTTTGGATTACGACTCAAAGCCTCACTCACTTTTTTTAACCGCGAGCGTCTGAGTTATTCTGCCTCGTTACAATATGCAGTGTTTGACAGTCCATGAGCCAATGGCTATGCTCATAGGTGCAGTAGGTCTACCGACAAAACCTATTGTTAAAATTATGACCACTGCAGGGACTAGAATAGAATAGAACATGAAATAAACAAAATGTTGTCATTTTTTTTAAGACAGTAGAAAGATGTGTCATGTATGTGACGTGATTATTTTCCTGACATAGCGTATTTGAATGCTGTATTATTGTGGTATTTGACACTAGCTGTGTTTAGTATTGTTTATTTTGTGGGCGGAGTCAGTAGTATAAAGCAAAAGCACAGTGTTAAATGGAATATGGAATAGATGCAGCATTTGTTTATAGATGCAGCATTAATAGATGGCACTGACAGTAGTTTTAAGACTGAGCATAATTAACAACTTCACACAATCCTACCAGATGTGAGTTTGATCAAACAGATACAGCAAAGATGAAACTGATGAATCACAAAGCTTGAAATTTGTGTTTGCTCATTTTACAGTCAGTGTTGATCATACGCAACTTCAATGAATAAAGGCCATTATTGTCAATGAGGCTCAATAACTATACTAAGTTTTCATCATTGATAACAACAGGAATTTAAACAAGACTCTGTCGGGTTTTTAAATAGGCTCATGATCAGCTATTGCATAGGCATTAAGTAGTGCAGTGAGTAACGTATGTTAGGAACTGGGGTTCAAATTCTAGGACAGATAGTAACAGAGTTTTCGGCTGCCTTTGGAAAAACTTACACTAAATTTGGTTTCATCTGAAACACAATTACACCGTCTCTCTTAAGATTAGAGTGTTTGGAATATAACGTGAAATTCATGTTTAATTCATGTTCAGTTTGTCCCTTTTTCCCCCTTGAGCCCCCTGAAAATGTCTGTGCACGGGTCTGTCAAATAGCCAGGCTTAAACACTGCTGTGTTTAGTGTATATTATTAATTTTAACCCTCTGGGATCCACAAACTCGCTCTTATCACGAGATCATACGAGACTCACACCCGGAGTTATGAGCCTATGAAGAGGGGCTGAGATACACGTGGAGATACACGCCGGGGGACACGCTGGTGGATTGGTGTGTCCATCTACGTTCTGTGTGAAACTGACCAATGGACACTCAGGAAGTCACTAAGGACTGACCATCACGCCGGAAACCCTTCATTCTTCATTCAGTCCACATCGGAGACTCATGTGAAACGGCGTGCAGAGAGTTTACAGCTGCTGAAGCTGCTGCAGCGGTTTTGGAAAGTAGTGATGAAGATAACGGAGCATTTAGATATGAAACATATGAGGATCATGATATATGAAGAGCCTTTAAAGGAGAGATTAAGAAGAGATGAACAAATTGAGAGAGAGAATGCTCTCAGACCACAGAGGGTTAATGCTGGTTAAAGTAAACACTGTGTGCGAGAGATACTGGTTTAAAGGAAAGGGCAGATGCTGAGAGGGGGAGAGAGAGTGGAACAGGACTGGTGAGTGTGTGAGAGGAATCCAGGCATTAGTAA